ATATTTTTTGGCAATATTACTTATTACTTTACTCCGAAGAAATAGGTTATAATGTTCGCTTCGTTCCAGAGCCTTTCCTATTGCATGGAGAAAGTGTGGCCCCATACATTATTAAAAAGAAACATTCAACATACTGCAGAAGGGGGAGATCCATGTTTTGGAGGTCCAAAACGTTTCTGCAAGAGCTTAGAAGATGCCAACAAGTGTGGCGAAGACGTAAGTATGCTCAATGGAAGACATCTTAAAAACAGAATCATTTGTTAATAATGACTGCGGTCTTGGTCTGCCAAAGATACCACGTCCTAACTATTATTTTATTAATATAAACTATCGAACTTGAATATCATAAGTCTACTTGATTATTTGCAATTGATAAGTTTAAACGTTGCAGGCAAGAAAGCTTTGCGAGAGAGAGTTCTGGACATCCTCAAGTAAGTCACTGCCGAGTGGTAGAAGTAAGAGAGACGCACCATTGTTTGGGAGTAACCCATGTACGTGGGGGCCAAGTTACTGGTGTGCCAGTGAAGAAAATGCTGATAAATGTAATGCGAGAGCTCATTGCGTGAAAAAGGTATGGGGCGCACCCAGACCAAAAAGAAGTGCTGGTCTAATTGGAGGCGATCCTTGTACGTGGGGTCCAAGTCACTGGTGTGCGAGTGAAGAAAACGCTGATAAATGCAAGGCAAGAGCCCATTGTGAGAAAAACGTATGGGGCGGACCCAGACCAAAAAGAAATGCTGATCTAATTGGAGGCAATCCTTGTACATGGGGTCCGAGTCACTGGTGTGCGAGTGAAGAGAATGCCGACAAATGCAATGCAAGAGCCCATTGTGAGAAAAACGTGTGGGGTGGATCTAGACCAAAAAGAAGTGCAGGTTTAGGTAGCGATCCTTGTACTTGGGGACCAAGTCACTGGTGTGCGAGCGAAGAAAACGCTGATAAATGCGATGCAAGAGCCAATTGTGAGAAAAACGTTTGGGGTGGATCTAGACCAAAAAGAAGTGCAGGTTTAGGTGGCGATCCTTGTACTTGGGGACCAACCTACTGGTGCGCCAGCGATGAAAATGCTGAAAAGTGTAATGGAAGAGCTCATTGTGTGAAAAACGTATGGGGCGGACCCAGACCAAAAAGAAGTGCTGATCTAATTGGAGGCAATCCTTGTACATGGGGTCCGAGTCACTGGTGTGCGAGTGAAGAAAACGCTGATAAATGCGATGCAAGAGCCCATTGTGAGAAAAATGTTTGGGGTGGATCTAGACCAAAAAGAAGTGCAGGTTTAGGTAGCGATCCTTGTACTTGGGGACCATCCTACTGGTGCGCCAGCGAAGAAAATGCTGACAAGTGTAATGGAAGAGCTCATTGTGTGAAAAACGTATGGGGCGGACCCAGACCAAAAAGAAGTGCTGATCTAATTGGAGGCAATCCTTGTACATGGGGTCCGAGTCACTGGTGTGCGAGCGAAGAAAACGCTGATAAATGCGATGCAAGAGCCCATTGTGAGAAAAATGTTTGGGGTGGATCTAGACCAAAAAGAAGTGCAGGTTTAGGTAGCGATCCTTGTACTTGGGGACCATCCTACTGGTGCGCCAGCGAAGAAAATGCTGACAAGTGTAATGGAAGAGCTCATTGTGTGAAAAACGTATGGGGCGGACCCAGACCAAAAAGAAGTGCTGATCTAATTGGAGGCAATCCTTGTACATGGGGTCCGAGTCACTGGTGTGCGAGCGAAGAAAACGCTGATAAATGCGATGCAAGAGCCCATTGTGAGAAAAACGTGTGGGGTGGATCTAGACCAAAAAGAAGTGCAGGTTTAGGTAGCGATCCTTGTACTTGGGGACCAAGTCACTGGTGTGCGAGCGAAGAAAACGCTGATAAATGCGATGCAAGAGCCCATTGTGAGAAAAACGTTTGGGGTGGATCTAGACCAAAAAGAAGTGCAGGTTTAGGTAGCGATCCTTGCACTTGGGGACCAAGTCACTGGTGTGCGAGCGTAGAAAACGCTGATAAATGCGATGCAAGAGCCCATTGTGAGAAAAACGTTTGGGGTGGATCTAGACCAAAAAGAGTGCAGGTTTGGGTAGCGATCCTTGTACTTGGGGACCATCCTACTGGTGCGCCAGCGAAGAAAATGCTGACAAGTGTAATGGTAGAGCTCATTGTGTGAAAAACATATGGGGCGGACCCAGACCAAAAAGAAGTGCTGATCTAATTGGAGGCAATCCTTGTACATGGGGTCCGAGTCACTGGTGTGCGAGCGAAGAAAACGCTGATAAATGCGATGCAAGAGCCCATTGTGAGAAAAACGTTTGGGGTGGATCTAGACCAAAAAGAAGTGCAGGTTTTGGTAGCGATCCTTGCACTTGGGGACCAAGTCACTGGTGTGCGAGCGAAGAAACGCTGATAAATGCGATGCAAGAGCCCATTGTGAGAAAAATGTTTGGGGTGGATCTAGACCAACAAGAAGTGCAGGTTTAGGTAGCGATCCTTGCACTTGGGGACCAGTCACTGGTGTGCGAGCGTAGAAAACGCTGATAAATGCGATGCAAGAGCCCATTGTGAGAAAAACGTTTGGGGTGGATCTAGACCAAAAAGAAGTGCAGGTTTAGGTAGCGATCCTTGTACTTGGGGACCATCCTACTGGTGCGCCAGCGAAGAAAATGCTGACAAGTGTAATGGAAGAGCTCATTGTGTGAAAACGTATGGGGCGGACCCAGACCAAAAAGAAGTGCTGATCTAATTGAGGCAATCCTTGTACATGGGGTCCGAGTCACTGGTGTGCGAGCGAAGAAAACGCTGATAAATGCGATGCAAGAGCCCATTGTGAGAAAAACGTGTGGGGTGGATCTAGACCAAAAGAAGTGCAGGTTTTGGTAGCGATCCTTGGACTTGGGGACCAACCTACTGGTGCGCCAGCGAAGAAAATGCTGATAAATGCGATGCAGAGCCCATTGTGAGAAAAACGTTTGGGGTGGATCTAGACCAAAAAGAAGTGCAGGTTTTGTAGCGATCCTTGCACTTGGGGACCAAGTCACTGGTTGTGCGAGCGAAGAAACGCTGATAAATGCGATGCAAGAGCCCATTGTGAGAAAAATGTTTGGGGTGGATCTAGACCAAAAAGAAGTGCAGGTTTAGGTAGCGATCCTTGCACTTGGGGACCAAGTCACTGGTGTGCGAGCGAAGAAAACGCTGATAAATGCGATGCAAGAGCCCATTGTGAGAAAAACGTTTGGGGTGGATCTAGACCAAAAAGAAGTGCAGGTTTAGGTAGCGATCCTTTACTTGGGGACCATCCTACTGGTGCGCCAGCGAAGAAAATGCTGACAAGTGTAATGGAAGAGCTCATTGTGTGAAAAACGTATGGGGCGGACCCAGACCAAAAAGAAGTGCTGATCTA